CGGATTCTTAGGGTCCTGTTCCTGATCTGTCCACTTATGGTGTGTCCGGTGGTCGCGAGCGTAGGCCAGAGCACTGCCGTTCAATGTTGTCGTTTGCAGTATAAGTAGCAATAGTTTCAGTGGAAACAGAGCTTTGAATGATTTATGAGCCCATAATCGGTGTCCTCCTATAAGTTTAGAAAATTTAACAATAAATTTATTAACATTTAAAAATTAATATACTTTAGTAGAATTTTTGTAAAATTTAATTAACATTAATAGAATTTAATAAAAATTCAATAAGATTTCTCCGCAAAAACATACCGACAGACATTCCCAGACCCGAGAAAATGGACAAAACGGACACAAATAAAACGGTTCCCAGCGTTACATCTGTGGTGAGCCCATGGTAAAAGCCATATACGGCCAAAATATGCACGCTCAATAGAAATACTACATTTGACCACTTTATTTCACTCAATCCATATCCAAATAATTTGCAAACTTTCTTATGATTGCAATCAATATCTATTTTATACTCATTTTTATCAATCTGTTTGTCAGACAAATTAATTTCGGATTCTTAGGGTCCTGTTCCTGATCTGTCCACTTATGGTGTGTCCGGTGGTCGCGAGCGTAGGCCAGAGCACTGCCGTTCAATGTTGTCGTTTGCAGTATAAGTAGCAATAGTTTCAGTGGAAACCGAGCTTTGAATGATTTATGAGCCCATAATCGGTGTCCTCCTATAAGTTTAGAAAATTTAATAATAAATTTATTAACATTAAAAAATTAGTATACTTTAGTAAAATTTTTGTAAAATTTAATTAGCATTAATAGAATTTAATAAAAATTTAATGAGATTTCTCCGCAAAAACATACCGACAGACATTCCCAGACCCGAGAAAATGGACAAAACGGACACAAATATAACGGTTCCCAGCGTTACATCTGTGGTGAGCCCATGGAAAAAGCCATATACGGCCAAAATATGCACGCTCAATAGAAATACTACATTTGACCACTTTATTTCACTCAATCCATATCCAAATAATTTGCAAACTTTCTTATGATTGCAATCAATATCTATTTTATACTCATTTTTATCAATCTGTTTGTCAGACAAATTAATTGTATTTTTATTAATATTATTATTATCAATGCTGTAATTAATTGACTCTTTATGTTCAAACATTGTTTAAAATTAAATTATTTTAGTATTAAAATTATTAAATATAATGTTATATAAAAACCTAGTAGTTTAATAATTACATCAAATACTATATAAATAGGTGTACGATGTGAGACTTTAAATAGTTTTATAATTGTCATAAAATTTTATTTTTATAATAAAAAAATCTTTGGACCATGATTGATTTAATTAACCGGATATTTAAAAAAAGTATTTATTTTATAATAATATTATTGACAATAAATGATTGACGTAATAATTTTTGCAATAATTTGAGTGGATTAACAATTTTTCCATTTATATTATTAATAACTTTTAATAACTACAATATTTTTATTAATTTTAAGTTTAACTCTATGTTAAAGTTATATATCGTTCGCACATGTGCCAAAAAATAGGTTGAGGTTAAGGTAATAAATGATATATTATTGCAAATTTGTAAGTAAAATTTGTTGCAATAAATTAATATATTTAGAACTTTCCATATAACTTATTATCACCATATATTAAAATAATAAGCAATTACAAATAATGTACTCAATTAAATAATTAAAATTTTATTATCCTTATAAATTTATTTATCCAGATATTACAGGAAATTATAAACAATAACACATTTATGGATTTATTCAAAACCTCTCTCTCTCTCTCTCTCTCTCTCTCTCTCTCTCTGTGAATCTCTCTCTCTCTCTCTCTCTCTCTCTCTCTCTCTCTCTCTCTCACCAATTTTGATGATTAAAATATTGACAATAATAAGATTTTTTAATTTTTTAAATTTATAAGTAACTATAAAATGTTTATAGTGTTAATAAATAATAAGAATGAGTAAAAACAATATGATACAAAAATTTATTAACTTTAAGGAGAGATAGAGAGGGATTGTTTTTATGATTAAATTTATATTAGTTTCGTGAAGCAATACTACGTAAACACCAGGTTATAAGTGTTGGAACCGCTAATCCAAATACAAACGCCAAGGTATGTAACATTTATGTTAAAATGTGATGAGTGGGTCCGCGTAGAGGTCGTCGAAGGAGAGTTTGTTACCATAATGTTTGACAATGTCTTTCTTCCTCAACAGCCACCACCCGATGTGCGCGTAAAACATGCCTCGACTCGGATTCTTGGGGTCCGGTTCCCCATCCGTTCACTTATGGTGTGTCCGGTGGTCGCGAGCGTAGGCCAGAGCACTGCCGTTCAATGTTGTCGTTTGCAGTGTAAGTAGAAATAGTATTTGAATGAGTTATCAGCCTCTAGTCTATGCCCTCGTATAAGTTATCATATAAGATAATATATAATTTAATATATTAATAAATTAGACAAATTTTGAAAAAGTTTAAAAAATTTTATTGTAATTTTATTGTGAAGATATACCAAAAAATATTCCCAGAACCGAGAAAAATAGGCAAAAGGATAAAAATTATTTACCCAACAATACAATAAAAAATTTGAGACTATTTGCTTATTATAAACAAATAAAAAAAAATTATAAAATAAAACAAATTGAAATAACTTTATATAATTATACAGCGTATTCAGCCATTAACGATTGTTTTGATTTTTTTATTATTCAAAAACTACAAAAGATATTTTAATCAAATCAATTGCAAATTAAAGATAAATGTTTGGCATTTTAGTTATTCACCGCTCCGTTGGTCTCAATGCTGAGCGAACCCCGTATGGGACACAACCGGATCAGAGTTGTCTCCGCTCAGCATTGGAGCCAACGGTGCGGCGGCAGCGACGGCACCGCCCGAAGCCTCACCGATGGCAACGCAGAGGCAAACACACCGTATATCTAAAGTACGTCCCAAACACCTAAGACGCCGGTCTATCAGTCTATTCAATTATGAAACTAATAGAAATTGCCATGATCATATACAGGGCTTTGCATTGTATCAAGGGCAAATGTAATTATTTATTTTACAATGTAAATTATACAGTGTCTTTGGCCATGAACGCGGGTTTTGATTTTTTTATTATTCAAAAACTACAAAAGATATTTTAATCAAATCAATTGCAAATTAAAGATAAATGTTTGGCATTTTAGTTATTATTGTTAAATAGATGCTATCACTGCAAACACATGGCTACCGCACGCACTCAATATTCAATTAAACAAAACAGTCTAATTTGTTCGGCTTTGTATCAAAATACCAAAAGTCCGGCGGTAACTGTTAAAGCTTATTGGACCCAAGTTGACAAACATTCAACAATTACTCAGGAACCAATAACAAAAT